ATATGCATATTGTGTAATTTTGCGTCAACAACAGCAAAATTTCCTATGTAACACACTATAAGGTGAAAACGAATCATGTTCACTTTGATGATGAAGGTTATATAAGTAAAGCTTATCATAAGTAGACGGGGAAATGCAATATGATGGAGTGTGAATGTAAAATTGGATCAATTAACAAAGACAGTTTAATTTGGAGGTCTATAGGGATTTACTTATTGATTTCGGATTGATATTCATCATGGACTGACATCAATCGGAGAAATATTGAAAACCTCAGAGCACTGGACACCTGTCTCGTCCCAGCATGGGACTCCTCAGCAGTTCACACTCTGGGATCGAACTCAGTACTTTAAAGTTTCGCGGTCAGTAGATTACCATTAGGCGGCTGAGTCGGCATTCAATGATCTACATTCCCCACTCCTGTCAGTTCATGATATATGAGTAGTTTAATTAAAAAATAGGTGGGTGTGCATGAAAGCAAGATCTGATGAAGAGAGATAGATAATTTGAGGAATACTAACTTGGTAAAATGTTACTCATGTTATGGAACAAAAGTAAGCTATGGGAATGTAATGAAATTATTTCAGCTTGTAGGTATGAAGAGATATCTACAGTGTAGAAGTGGTAAATTAGTTTACATGGGGCAGGATGCAAAGTACTTTATGAATTCTGGTTGGAAACAAGGTAGTTGTAGCCCCAGCGCCTGCTTTTTCGAAACACTTAACTTGAGTTATATCATGCTTATTGTTACCACTTCTGCAGGTTGGATGCAGGATTTAGAGCAGTGTACCCTTTGTCTAGTTGGTGGTAACCCGCTATCTAATAATCCTCTCATAGTTGGTTTTAGCCTCATGCGCCAATATAGGAGCTGTTAATAATGATAGTTATTTTAACTTTGGATAACTATGTCAGGAGGTGTTCTCGAGCATGGAAAATTGAATTCTTGCAACAAGAGTGACTAAATTTTCAGCATCAGTCTAGCTGACAGAAACAAAATGAAGTGATCAGTCCAGGCAGTTCATGTTTCAGCCTCTGGGTATGTGTGCGATCATTGTTCCAACATCAGAATCTGAAGTAGATAGTTTGAAACCAAACCTCGTAGACTGCTGCTACATATCCCAGAGTGGGAGGTTAAAAATGAAGTTACTGCTCACCAAAAAGCACAGATAGGCACTGAAGCGGTTGAAATCCAATCAGAACCTTACTTATAGCTTGAACAGGTAACCGCAGTTGTGTAGTGTTACTAGGGGAAACGGATTACATCAGAAAGATGAATATAATTCTAAGTGATGAATCTAAGTATCAGAAATTACAAGGTGTTAAGGGTATGTTTTTGAAGATAGAACAGGAAATAGTTAGTTTCCTGACTTCACCGAAAAGAAGACAAATTATCTTACCCAAAATAAATAAACAGTTGAAACCTAGAGAAATAATATTCTGAGGTTATATGGACTACCTAAAATTCATAAAGTTGGGGTTCCACTGGGACGAATTTTAGATTAGCACAAATCACCGCACCACGCTGTGGCGAAGTGGTTTGTTTAGTTACTATCATTCGAACACAGCTTGGAAGACGTTTTCACATTTATTGGTCCAGTTAAGCAGAAAACACAGGATAGGGTCGTGCTGTCGCTGGATGTTCACGAATCTTCCACTAGTGGAGACAGTTGACTGTATTTCGGAAATTACAACAGAAAACATTGGCTTACCTGATTGTTATTGCGATGCACACTTAATTTCAGTTTCTTATCAACTGTATATACAGTCATATAGGTGGGGTAACAGTATGTTCTTCACTGGAACCACTGCTTGATAAGTTGTTCAACTCAAAGTTGGAGAATGCTGTTTTGAAGCTGTACGTACATTCAATGGATATTTATTGCAGGTATATGGACGATACCTTTGTCATTTGTAATAAGAAGACGAAAGTAAATGAATCACTGGTTGATCTTTTCAGAACCGATCCACTGATAATGTTCTTCCATGTACTGAAAAGTTCGAGCAAAATCTCTTTCTTTAGTATCCTTCTAGCTAAGTCAGACGGTGGAAAGATCATCAGAAGTGTTTATTGCAAACTATCTTGGAGTGGAATATATACACACTTTTATAGTTTTGTTCTACTTTCCTAAAAAGGGAATTTGTTTCAATATCCACTTGGATGGGTAAGAAGATTTTATTCTGACTCTACAATAAATGAGAAGTTATAAGATTTGATGGACACCTTCGAACAGAATGGATATCCCAGAAATTTTATTACGAAAAATGTGATAAGGAGAATGGACAAGGCAGTTATCTTCAGATGTTACAACAAGCAAATATTCGTCTACCTTCAGTGATAATCTAGCTGAAATTATTGCATGCAGACTTCAGTATTCATCAAAGAAAACGTTTCATGCAGCCACTGTGAAACTGATATTCAGCAATAGATGTATCTTACCACCATTTATTGAAGGTGGAATATCTCGTATACCTATGTCAGTGTGTATCTGTAAATTCACCTGTTCCTATTGAGTCAGCTATTAAAGATAAACAAAGGGAATCGTTCCAGTAACGCGTGAAAGAACATTTGCCGGTAGGACTAGCAAAAAAGGGATAAAGAAGATTACGAGTTTTATTTGGCTCCACCTAAATGATACTGATCACACTGTAGACATTAAATCTGTTTTCTCAATCATCCACAGGATACCAGTTCGAATGTCACAAGCAGTAAGGGTTCGTCTTCTTCAAACTACTGAAGGTTCTAAATGAATTCAAATATCCTCTTATTCTTCCGCGGCCATCTGAAAAGATGAAGTTTACATAATTCAGGTTTACAGTGACTCAAGTAACTTGTTCATATTTATTTTTCAATTTGATTTAGTGGGTTTTTTCTCACTTTTATTTACATTCGTGAAATTTTTATGTTTCTAATTTTCATTTGACCTAATATCCCACTGTCTGTTATGATTTTTATTTTTAATCCAGCTGTAACTGACAGTCCCTATACCTGCTAATGTATATATATATATATATATATATATATATATATATATATATATATATATATATATAATTATCCGAAATCTTGTGAAATAAACGCTAACAAAATCCTGACCCCGTAATTAGCCTAATCTACAGATAAACCGTCAAAAGAATTCACGCGTGGAGTGTATTCTTTACCACGTTTAAAATACTGTATTTAAAGGTAGAATCTGATAAGAATTAAGTGAAAATACGTTTTCTCTCAATTTTCCTAATCTTTTCAGTGTTTCTATGGTAATATTCCGTATACTAAAGTTCTTTGAACTAATTTGCATAACTTAAGAGTTAATTTCTCGTTAGGCACATCACATCCAGATTTTTCGCGTGTGTATAAAGGTTTTCTGCTATCAGTCAGAATGTTTTTTCTTTCTACTTGTATAGTAATATATTTGTTATGAGGTTATTAGGATAACCATTTTCTACTAATATATTGCGTAAATTCGTCAATTCCTCCTAAATTGTATCTATCGAACACATGGCCTTCATTTCTATAACCGAGAGTTTTTATCAGCTAATCTTTAATCAATTTTGATGCCGTTGTGTTCTCTGAGCTGGATCGTTTAATCTAGGAGCCTTCGTTGTCACTCTAGGCAACACCATCAGCACAAACTTCAGAACTAAGTGGGCGATAAGATTTTCTCCGCAATTTATTTGACAGATTGTCTTGATTGCCTTGTGTTTGATTGGTTGTTTCTGCCGAGTTCTTGTCGTCGTCTCCTTGTTCATTTTTGTTGGTTGTTCTAATGAGTTGAAATTCGACCTTGATATCTCTTACTAATTGACAGATAGGATCAATGTCAATGTCTGTTGACTGCTGACTGGCCAAGCTTCTAAAAATGCTTTGACGTTCTTAGTATTCCCTCTATCCAGGATTTTCACATTTTCTCAGTCGAATTCATGTCGGCCAATCAAAATAAATAGGGAGACGACAACAAGAACTTGGCAGAAACAGCTAATCACGCACAAGACCATCAAGACAATCTATCAAATAAATTGCAGAGAAAACCTTATCGCTCACTTCTTCAGGAAGTTTGTGCTGATGATGTTGTCTAGAATGACAACGAAAGCTTCTAGATTAAACAATCCAGCTCAGAAAACATAACACCATCAAAATTATCCCCCTAAACTACAAATATCCTCCATCACCATAGTGAAGTCTTTAATCAAGCTTGTGTAGGATCAAAGTTAAGGTTCCTACCTCACTTGTATAGGTATCTAGCTACCACCTTCTTAATCATGGGTTCGAGCGTTTCTTCAACACGGGCGACTGGATAGTATAATATGCCTGTATAGAGGCTAAAAAATAGTTATAAAATACAGTCTTCCAAATATGAGAAGTCGTAGTGCGTAAATGTTTAAGGTACATTACCTACCTCATGTTTACAAAATCCTGCTTCAAGACTATAATCTCTATGGATTCTCTGTTTGAAGGGAGGAAGGGAAGTGGTGTGACCCTTTGATCACTTCATTTATCTTAAGTAAATTGGTGGGTAACTCAATCTTAGTGAGGATGCAAAGCACGCTCTAGTCTGTTGCTAACTGTCACCGAAATCTTATTTACATGCTTAATAAGTTCAATTACTATTTAAGTATAGTGGTAAACTGCGGTAAGCAGATGTAGAGTACTAAGTAGAAATAATACTTTGAAACACAGCCAATAAAATTCTTGACATAAAATGATTGTTCAAATAGGAGTTGTAAATTTTCTTCCTTCTGGTTTAGGAACTATAGATCCCCCGGTTTGGGTCAATGAGATAGTGTACTTCGGATTAGGCACATCAGTTGGTTCAAAATTTGTTACTATAACATAAATCCACCTAAATTTAATCCTCTCCTCAATTTTGAAATTGTATCAGGTGCTGCATTGCTCATGTTTGTCTATCTTTTAGATTAAGAGAGTCAATTTTAGTGCATTTAAAACCTGCTTAGCAAATAAATATCACTTATTTATTCAAAATTTTCCCCTTATTCCTCTGTAGACATGTACAACAAACATAAAACATCTAGAACAAATACAACAGGTGGATTTAGCTTCGTTAATCGGATTGATCACTGGTGCTGGTATACCCTCAAGAAGTCTTGGTATTTTATCATCATCATGGTTGAATAATCTTTGGTCTTCAAATGAGGACAGATTAAAAGTTATGCTTTTATTGATGAAACATTTTGGTCAACTGATTGGTGAATGTAAATTCTTTTCAGAATCATCTAGTATATTAGAGAACACAAATTGTACTTCAAGTATATGGGGTAAAGAGAAAAGTGAGTCCCTGATATTATTTTCATTTCATGCACTAACTTTGTTGTAAACAACAATGAATTATCTTGTTACTTTAGTTGGTATACAGGGCCGAATTGCTCGGCAAGTATCATTACAACAACTGATACCCGTAGTTATCGTGTCTCAGGATTCTAGTCTCAGCGGAAGCATCACTCAGTGGGGTACACGTTCATCTAGCTGACAAGTCTCAAATAGGATGAAACGCGTCCCTGAATTCCCCTGATAGCTACAACCAAGTAAATTATCATAATAAATATTCAGGCAATATCAAGGCATCCGCATAGGGGCCCATATACTCTAGAGGTAGAACAATTCGATCCAGTAAAATAACGGGGAACTACAAGTATATCAACAAATAATGATAGTAACCAATACCGTTGTAGGAGAGGTGAGTATCGTATCCCAGTGGCCCAGTGGATAATGCTTCGACGTTTGAAGCAACGTCTACTAGGTTCGAGTCTCAGTGAGAGCAATACACTGGGGTGCATGTTCATCCAGCCGACGCGTGAGTCCCAAATAGGACGAAACACGCGTCCTGGATTCTTCTACTAGTCACCAAGGTGAATACCACGAATTATCTCCTAAATTTAACAGCTGTTTAATCTGCTGATTGTAGAAATTTGATCGCCTTGAAAATAGGGTTAATTTGACACTGACATCATTTAAAAAATTGCTGAGCTTCTCACCTTCCTCTTCTGGGACGAAACTTAAAATTTGTAGATCACACATCAAGCATTAATCGGTTATGAATCCATGTCCAGTGCTAGCCAAATTCAGTTGCTTTTTAAGAATACACAACTCTTCTAGGATTACAATGGCAACCATCTATCTTCATTGACATGTATAACAATCCTATTTTCTCAGCAATTCATTTCATGATTCCCTAACTGGATGGCATGAAATCTAGGGACTGAAAAGCGTTCTCAATGATACATTGAAAACATTGTAACATGAAAGAGATTGGATGAGACCAGAGAGTGCTGCGGTTCAGTTGGCAGAGCCCCAGGCCCAGTAGTCCTGTGCTGACTGTATTTATAGCAGACTATTTGTAGGTGAGGAGTAGTCGCGAAATAAATATGAGCTCAATTTGTTCTGCAAATTGTGTTATTCGTGTTTCGATGGAAGCGATCATACGAATACTTTGTTTGAATGTTTTAAGCAAGCATTTCCTCCAGAACCCGTAAAGTCATCTGATCATTAGGTGACAATCCGTTGCAAAATTGTTCGAGACTCTAGGTGATATGGCTCAGAGTCGATCTCAGGGCACATATCCACCCACACATTATCGTAATCCTAATCATGATACCGAACTTCATTATTGTTTCACCATCTATTGTTCTCTTCTCAGAACTTTCTACCTCTTTTGATTACCTTTCTCCTGATTTCTCCATGTTTCATCTTGGTGCGCTGATACGAAGTGCGTCATTATGAACGGTAACACAGATTTCATGTAAGTGCTAACTGAATGACATTCATAGTTATCTGTAAAGTATGATTTTAAGAACGAATCTGAGAAGTCATACCGATCTTGGTGACTATCGGGAAAATCCAGGAAGCGCTTTTCATCCTATTTGAAGCGCGTTAACTGAATGTATCTGCACCTCAGTGAGCGATTTTGTTATCACTGAAGCTTCGACCCCGTACTCTTCGCTCCAAAAGCCAGAGCGTTATCAACTAAGCCACTGGGACACGACAGCCACCTCTTGTTTAACGGGTACCAGTTGTTATAATGATAAAGAAGTCATTTTGATTAATTACTACGGCACTAGCATATTTATTTCAAACACCAATTTACACTTCATTAGTGTAAACTTTGTAGTCAAGCACTGAGTTTTATGAACCCATTAGCTCATTGATCACAGCACTTATATCCCACACATTTTTACGTGGGAGCTCATAGACCTATGTACAACATTCTCACCTAATTGTGTTTAAAATATGAGGATTATTAGTGGATAAGGCAGTGTGTTCGAGATTCCATAGGTCTGATGGCTTTCGTCGGGCTTACGGCATATCTTATATACTCCATTAACGTATTATTAAAATTATTATCCCACTTAGAAACCATACACTTTTTACATTTGGTGTGGGAAATATTCACATTCCCAGTAGAACGTCATTTGTCGGGTGACTTTAAAGGCCACCCTAGCAAATTCTGAACTAACCAATCAGCTTTTCGGCTATGAGGGTAGTTATTTGTAAAATGAAGAAACATGATTGATTATCTCAGCAGTTGCTAGGATGGCCTTGAAGTCGCCCCGTTTGTCAAGGCTATGAAAATGAATATACCGCTGCATAAAATCCTTGTTCACACCGGTTGGAGTACGATCTACTGCTTCGAAGGCATCTACACTGTTCTTCAACAAAGTTCTTGTTTAATCACTTCTTTATGCGATATCTACAAATTTCATCATATATAATGTCATTCTGCGACGTACGAATGGATATAAGACTAAAACTATGGCACTGTAGTAGAATGTAATTCACTTTAGATAAATGAATAATACTGTACGATATACTTAACAAATCAATTGAAATGATATCGAGAAATACACATACTCTGGTTGCTATTTGACTTATCGACACCAGTGCATGAGCAAGCAAGAAAATGAAGTCAGTACCCGGCAGAAAAACTTAGTTTTGAAGACAGTATCGTGTTGGCGATATGCCGAGCTCATAAAATCCTTTCCTATAATTCATCTCAGCAAATGTAATTTATACCAGCTATATAAATGATATTTGTTTATCCGTAAAGGCATGGTTTGCGAGTGGCGTTACGGTTTTTATACCTGGCAACTGATTTCTCGTGGGTTTTCTTGCCTCCTAGTACGCCGATATACTAATTCGGCTAATACTGTCTTGTTATCGAGTTTCTTCTGAATATTAGTTAGTACATCAGGTAGATATAACTGTCTAAATCGAAAGATATTATAAGGTTACAGGCTTTTGATTTAAGGTGTGTCTCCGTAACATTACCTACTTGTGACTGGAGCACCATGTGAGCGATGTTGAGATTAGGCACACAATTTTGCAAATGTTGGTAGAGGATGAAGGTTCAAAACCTCACTGGGGCAGCTTGGATATACGTTTTTCTTCCCGAACCACTACCTACAGTTTATCTGATCTGTATATGAAGGTTTAGACTGCCAGACTGGGTTTTTACACCTTGATGACTAGCGTCAACTTGAACCGATACATCTGTGTACTCGATTCTGCATTGATTTGTATAACTGTGTGACATCAAGCAAACACAGAAAAGAAAAACTTCGTAAAGATGAGTTTTTCCGGTTTGTCACTAAAAAACATAAGAAGCCGAAAAATGCGGATGGTTATCAGTGTTAACCTCTAATTTTTATCCGTCAGAAAGCTAAATAGCAGCTGCAGTAAATAGCAGTTTGAGTAATTTTACAGCGTGATACATTATTGTGAATGAAATGAGCGGAGATGCAGCTCATTAGTGCATGAGCTTGAGTTTAAACTGTTAGGCCCCGAGTTTAAATTCTACTCCACACCGGGCAGCTATACGACGCCATATTACTTTCTACTATCATTTTATATTTTTGAGCGAAATTAGTGTTAGCGCATTTTATTTTCTTGAATATCTTTCCCCCTTAATTGACTTCTTTCTTAGCAATGAAATACAATGTTTTAATGGATGAAATCATCTCTTGGTTGCATTGTCAAAAGGCTAAAGACGATTTAATAGCTAAATCAAAAAATATTGACTGTCGACAGATGGGTTCACGTGTTAAAGGTGAATCACTGATTCATGAGTCAGTCAAACTACTTCAAGATCTGCAGTCGGATTCTTTGTCAAAGGCTGAACACTTGGATAATCATCAAATGCTAATCGGTGGTATACTCATGTGGATTGTGAGTTGTTCTTTTTTATGATAATTTTTATCGTTTACATATTTTAGGAAGAACACGGATACCAGTTTAAACTGATTAACATTGGCACCATTTTATTTCCTTGGATTCTCGTTAGCTGCTCAAAACTGAGAATAATAAAGCATAATGATGATAAGAGAGATATGAGCACACTCTACTTTACTGGAAGTACTTAAAACAAACAGGGATTGATATTGTTCGGTTAGAAATCAAAGCAGCGAATCAAAAGAAGGTGAGATTATCGAAAGATAAACAGTTTTGGCAATAAGGGATTGTGAGACTGAGAATGTAAGTAAATCGTTAGATGCATGATCTAGTGGATAGCGCTTTGGCGTTTTGAAGCAATAAGTGTGAGGTTCGAGTTTCAGTGGGAACAACATCACTCACTGGGGTGCAGGTTCATCCAGGACGAAACACGCGTCCTGGATTCTACTGCTAGCCACAACTAAGTCAATTTTAAGTAGGATTACAGGTTAGATAAATTAAGTCGTTAAGACATAAAGAGAGAAAGAGAAAGGGACTGATAACAAATCCCTTTGCGATTCAGTCTTTACGTGTTTCTACAGTAATAGCTCCAGCAATTTAGATCCATTTCATTCGCTTATCATCTTTAAGGATTTCAAGACATCTCAGCTTGGGTTCTGCGTTAGCCACATGTTGAGCAGCCTCACTGCTAAGTAAATCGAAAATATACCCCTCTCTTTCTCTTCATTTTGAGGTGTTCAGTTCATTTTGTTTCACTTGCAGTGTATGTGAGTGTTAAAAAGCCCTGAAAAAATAACCATTTTCATCTACGCATAACACAATCTCCATCCAGTGTTGTCGTAGAGTTACTTTCCCCACGTGAAACTTGTTTTGCATCATCTGTTACGATTTCGTATTAAAACTTCGGGAAATCTCATATGAAAGGAAGTCACAGGTGAGCACTGGTGGGGTCGTGGGTGTATATTTCTGAGGATTCCCATACCAAGATGTAACAGCTCTCCAGTCCTCCCAGGCTTTCAATGGTTCTTCAACTAATATCAGTCTGTGATGAATGCCAGCTTATGATACTTCATTGTCATGAACGCTGATTTCTGAATTCCTACCACTGAGTGACTAGCTCTCATTGCATTGGATATATTAGTGGCATATGCAAATCAGTACAAATGACGTGGGTTATTACCACATTACTGTACTCGCTAAAATTGGTGTAATCCACATCAACCCAAAGAGGAGGGTCGGACATAAAAATCAATTACAGCAGTAGGAAAGTGACAGAAATAATGGCAAAAGTGGAATCAAATAACTGAAAGAAAATATTGAAGGGAGACAAGTTAAGGAGGCGAATAAAAGGAGCTGTCCAATATCCCCTTAATTTTTGACAATCGTCAAACGGACTTTACATTTACAATCATTGGGACTCTTAATTCGCATGGATACTTTTTTTCTCATAATAATATGTAAGATATTTTCATGTTGTCAGTCCAATGTTTAATCTAAGCAATATACAACACCTAACTGATTTCCATCGACTCTAATGTAATATAATCATTACACGGCTTAGAGATTATGGTCTCAGTCCTTAAGTCTGCTTAAAACGTGTTTTTAAAGTAGAACGAAGCAATTCTCATGTTTTCATTGTTAGTTAAAGGAGTTTCAGTTAGAAGATAGGATATGCTAACATAATGCTGAGAATCCATGTACATAGTTGACCTGTGCGAGAGATAAGTTGCGGTGTAGATATTTAGGAACTAATCAGTTATTGTTTTAATAGAAAGTGGCCTAAATGGAAGTCAAAATTTTAAGTCGTCAGCCGTTAAGGTAAAAGTTTTTCATATCGCTGTATGGTCAGGAAAAACCTTACTAGACAATTTATTCTACAATTGACTAATCGAAATAAACTATTTAAAATTTGACCTATTGTATCTAAATGATGCATTTTTATCAAATAAAGTTTCTTCCTAACGGTCATAGGTCAGTCTTTGTCTGCGTATATTTTTGTGACTCAGTGAAGTTGGAGCGAAAAGTCGCTATTTGTATCTAGTTCAACTGTCTCATCGCGTTATTATTCGCTCGGTTACTTCACGTTTGTGGTGTTGATGACGTTGATTCAAGATGTATCAAGTTCCCTAATGCGAATGCTAGCAAGCATAAAACTCATAGCACATAATAATGTCTGCATTTATTTAAGTAGAGATAATATTTGTGCAAAAATTCCTTTGATTCATATTGTAATTTTGTTTTTCCACTGACATTGTTTTCACAGGTAACGATATTTCTATTTCATAAAATCCTCAACTTTGGTGTTTTCACTTCGGACATCAAAGATTCTGCGTTAAACAAAAGAGTAAGTGATTATTAACGTTATGATTCTTATTTGTCACACATAGAAAGATCATGTGTGTAATAGACAAATCTCGCTTTTATTTCACTGATTTCTTGTGTCTGTTAATCAGAAGATAACTAAGATGTTGGACTACATTTCCAAGCAGTTTGCATTGTTGGTCGATATCAATCAACTGTGAAGTCTACAGCTGGGACGGAACCATTGCCCACCACTCTTAATGGTTTCCGAACTGATGTCAATGCAACGCATAATAAAAAGTGCTTTAATATAATAGAAGTGTCAACTTCCTGAAATATTCGGTAACTTGACTAAAAATGTAACATGAAAGCGATCAAAATGAAATGTATTTGGTCTCTTTATCTTTGTTAAGCCTTCGAATATCTCACTGCCTCACTGTACTTTATCGCCTCTCAAACCATTAACTGCGGTTAGTTTTGATGTCGTTCTATCCTTGTCGATTCTCTGCTCCCTATGCACTTGTAAAGAAACGTGAATTGAGTTAATCCACTTTGATGCAAGCATCTATTTAGCTCTGTTTCATTTATGTCAAAATGTATACCTGCTGTAAATACATTCAGACAAAAAGATGGACAGATAAACTCAACGTAGGACTTCGCATAAAGTGCATCGGTTCAAATTACCACACTTTAAAGTGGCATAGGAAGAAAGACTGATATCACAGTAGATAAAGGTTTATATGAGGTGAAGGAATCCAAAAATGAAGATTGCTCAAACTTCTCAACCTTTAGAAGACATCAACGAGTGACTACATCTGCTCTGTAATGTGATAATGAAGATTTTTGGCAGGAAAGTTATCGAGAGGCTGCACATCGAGTGAACACTAAATTAAAGGGATAATACTGACAGAAAAATTGACTTGAGGCTAAATAACATTCGATTGTTTCCAGTGTTACTCAGCGGTAGCGTCCCTCTGACTGCATCACTTGGTTATGCGGGTTCAAACCTTGTAGAAGGCATCAGTTCCCTAGAAGTCGCAGATATGCCTAGCTGACGAGTGCCGAAAAGTACGAAACCGAATTCAAGCAGGACTTCTTACCAATCGACTGCAACCAACTAGCCGAAATAAGTGAATATCAAAAAACAAAACTACCGAGTGTGTTGAATAGCATCCTGTGTATTAACAGCAGCATATACTTATTTAGAAGGTATTTTGGATAAAAGCTAATCAGAGGCAGAAGACAATAACAAGTCAATCAAGTAGTCAGTAGAATTAAATCTAGAATTCGAAATCTGATTTCTGATTGTTGTATCAGATAATTACCATGAACTACAACAGTCCAGTTTTCAGTTGTTTGATATTTCTTAATATCTTTTCATCAATTTGCATAAACATATTAACTCTATCTTTTTCATTATTGTACGACTGGATTCATTACAGTCAGGACTAACATGTCCATGTTTACTTTAAATCATTGAAATTTAACCATAGAACTCGGTGTTTTCTTCAAGGATGTCCACTCTTTCTACTCTCATTCAACTTTATCATAAGCGTCCTTATATAGGTCTCCCTCTCCTCGCTTGACTTCACAGGCATGCATCTAATCACTGAAACGACATAGTTGTGTCAGGTAAAGACGCTGAAAATATGCGGAGTCCTCTGGACACTTTGAGAATTTTTTGGATGCATTCTCCACCACCCAAATGCAGATTGTTGCTGCAGGACTTGCCTTCAGTGACGCTCTTGTCTAAAACTAGGGTAGTGAAGGGGTTGAGTGCGTTAAACACTTCACTTACCTGGGAAGTCGAATAAGCCCTGGCGAGTCAGTGACCGACGAAATCTCAGCAGAGATACAAAAGGTTTGATTGGCTTTTGCCAACTTACCTCACTTTTGGCATCGCCATGATATCTGACCGCCCACTGAGGTTTGAGTGTACTGCACTTTAGTTTGCTGTGTTCTACCACATGATTGTGTAACCTGACCATTAAGGTAAAGGTTATGAGAAAGCTTCAATTGTTCTACCACCGTTACCTTCGTAGCATAGACCGTGTGTCGTGGTGTTACCATTTCAGTAATGAGGAGGTCAGGCGTTTTGTTCAAGGGAGGAAAGGAAAGTCAGTTGATGAGGTTGTGGACTTTCATCGACTCAGGTGGTTTGTACATGTGTTACGCATACCTAGTCGCCATCTACCTCGTCACTCAGGGTAACCTTAGGTAGGTTTAGTCTATACAAAGTTTGGGGGTCAGTCGGACTAAAAGATTGTCTCGGTTCTTGTAGTTCTTGACTGTTGGCATCAGCTGTTAGGGGAATGTAGACTTCCCGGTTGGTGTCTACATGACTACTGTAATAGGTGATTGAAGACTCTAACTGATATTGTTCAGAATCGATCTCATACTTTTACATATAACCTTAATCGTCTTACTGAATTTCATTATTTTTCATTGCCTGTTATCCTTCGTCCATGAATTTCTCCCACTTTAATCATTTTCCTTCTATGTAACTGTCTTTTATCTTCGTGCGTTCTCGCTTGATTTACCGATATGAGATATTTTGTTATAACCATTACACAGTAATGTCAGATCCCTTGATGATGCTAACTGACTGATGTCATCATCACATTTATAAGAGCATGTAACTTCGCACTTCGCATACTTTTCATTTCTTGATCGTATCATTTTTTTCGTCACTAGTTGAAAAATTGAAGCGTTTTTGTAGCAGATGAAACTCTTTTAGACTTGAATGATTCATTAAGTAATGACTAATCAATAGCCGCCTTGGTAATACAATTTTCCTTTTCATTAGCATTTTTTGACAAGGTCATTCACTCACTTTTTGATGGTATCTATTTCCTTCACATTTTCGTAAATACACCTTATGTCTATACTGAATCAGCTGATGCATTGATTTATGGAGTTCAAGATTAAATTGTATCACATCACCATGAATAAGTTTGAGATGTGCATCAGAAAATAACAGATGAATTATTCATTGTTGCAATTATACTTGTAATTTCCCGTTGCTATACTGGACCAAGGTGGTGCAATTCGGCCCTGACATCAATTGCACAGGAGGTGGCTATCGTGCCCCGGTGGCTTAGTGGATAACGCTCTGGAGTTTGAGGTGAAGGGTACTGAGTTCAAGCTTTGGTGGGAACAGCATCACCCTGCACTGGGGTGCTGGTACATCCAGCTGACAAGCTCCAAATAGGATGAAACGTGCGTCTTGGATTCCTCTGCTAGTCACCAATATCGATGTTTTATTCATTATTCATCTTTTGTGTTTATCACTTTCGACCTGTTTTAAATTACTCTGTTAATGGTATCATATTACAGACATCAAGTAAAACTTATGCATAACTGTTAATATCGTAAATGATTCGTGTGTTTCTGAATTGGAAAGTTTGCGTTATTGTAAGGTGTTTTTCACTCCCCCCCCCGCTATAATTGAAAACTTTCTATAACATCACCTTAATAAATTTCTATATTTATCTCTCCATAAGCACAAACAAATTGGTTTTATTGTAATTAATATATTTTATAATTGAGCATTTCTGTCATGTGATTTTGTTGTGTTTTTCTAGCCATCTTTATAATCGAATGCTTAGTTTACATCACATGTGTTTCTTTTACTGCATAAGGGAAAGTACCGTTTAGATTAGATATCTTCAATGCATCTCTCGCATATTATGAAATCACCAAGTAAGTAGTGCTAAGGTTAAACGGAGAGTTTCAGTCAAGAATGGGATATATCTGTCGATGAGATCGCGTTGAAACAATTAGTCCTCTTGATAAATCTAAACGGAGATTTTCTGGAACATGTTATGCAATCAGACATACTGATTGCTCAAAGGGGGGCTGGCTCAATTGGAAAGTTTATCCACAGGAAGCTGACTTGGACATGACAATACCTTAATTTCCATCGTTACTGTCCAGCCCAATACAAGCATGGCTTAGTCAGGTGTTTATTTAATAGAGTTCATCGCATTTGCACAGATAACAAAAAAATAGAAGCGAAATTCCTGACGGATACATTAGTACAAAATGGATATCCGTTAAAATCGGCATAACATTGACATCGTTTAATTAGTAGTCTGTCCCTAAGCAAAAATGTGTATATCATATTGCCATGCATGGTTGAGTCGAATAGCCTAATCTTGGGGGAGAAGGCTCAAATCAGTTGTCAGCAGGACATACTACGAGGCCGAGGTCATCTTAGTGAAGGCATAGCCTATACTTCAACATAAACCTAAACAGCATTTGAAGGAGTATATCACATCCCATTGCGTCTATCACTTTACATGTATGTGTGGATACATATACATAGGGAGGAGCAATCGTTACATACAGTTAAGAGTGGTTGAACATGTGCCTAAATTTCTCCGGAAACAAACGACTTCTAAGAGTTTAATAAGTGCAGGTGACAAACATCATTCTTCATCGATAGCAAAACTGATCATAAGACTGGCATGAAAACAGCCTTTATTGTGCTATATAGATATGGTCAAGCACGTATACTTAGATTTATCGATGCATTGCTATCCATAAATGCAAATCCCTTCTATATATTCAGAAACAATTTGTACTCACAGTGAACCTACCCTGATAGTATTAAGTCCAGCTCTTCATGCTACTGGTGGTGGTGATTTGACCATTCATTATTATTTTTCTTCTCTTGTTTTTGTTCTATCCTTATTATCTTCCTAACAATAATTCCATTGGCTTAATCAACCTAAGTTTTATATAAATAGTTCGACAAGTTCATATGTGATCAGGTTGTTTGAAATGTCTATCTCTAATACATCATATGTTCCTGATAATCCTTGTCTTCTCATTACATTGTTTAAACATATAGCCTTGCCTGTTTTCAAAGACACTGTAAACCAGACTATAATTGGGTTGTAAGTTATCGACAGTGAACTAAAAGTGATCAGTGCAAGACATGACACTGATCTATACAGTCACTGACTGCTAGTTTCATTTTTGCAGCGAACTATAAACTCTTGTAGGTAAATAGCTTATCGCTAAGGTATACTGGTTCATTTAAGGTAGCCTGATTTGGTTGGCCTAAACAATTCATCTCTGTAATCTAGATTGTCCAGGTACATCGCTGGTGAGCTTGACGGTAGATGAGCGAAATGGCTAATAAATTCTACAGATCATCATGAATAATCTTGAACTATTCATATTATTCAATAGTATGTCTCTCAAACGTTTTGATTTTGAATGATTGTTCCTTTGAACGAATTACAAACCTTAAAGTTTCAGTTTGTTTCCGAGGCATGTTAAAAAAATGCAGATGGAGAACTATCTTTTCAATGTACTTAGTTTGACAATCACACGCTAGTTTCTCGTTACTTTTGGCGACGAGTATTTGTTCTCTTGTGTTTGAATATTAGGTTACTTAGATATAGTTTGTATTTGTATAAGTACATAATATAAACTGGTTTCAAAATGAATTTGACATGGTTTTGGAGTCAACAAAGATGACAGTCCAGATGGATTCCCAGAAATGTTAATATGTGATTGTCGCAACACAATAATTGAAAGAAAATGAAGAAGATTGGTCGTCGACTAAGTCCCACTTAGTGATTGAATCGTAGCATGCGCAGCTCAAGACGTGAAACCTGCAGTCAAGATACTGGATTTGGTTTTTGGCATACGCTGTTAAGAGGCTTTATAATAGGATTTGTGTGATTCCGTGATATCTAAAAAGTTTTTTATCAGCAAATTGTAGGTGTAGAAAAACGTTTCGAGTGGGAAAGAATAAAGTTTTGTTCCATGTTCAAAAATATGAAGGTTAGAATCTGATAGGTGATTTAAATTCCTTTATTATTGTGGACCTCATTTGCTGGTGAGTACTGAGAAGTATACTATAGCTAGATCCTTGCCTTTCTTCTAATGACCAAAGACATATGCACCTATTTACTTTTTTAAATTCATTCCTTTATTAATTATCGTAATTGTTTTTCTAAATGTCATTATTTTTTAGGGTCAAAAGTCACTTATCCAATATTATTATTCTGATACAGCTGATATCAGTTATTCGTTTGATCCGCATTTAGTACAGATTATTTGTAGATTTGGTACAGTCTGTCTACTGCTTCATTCAGTCAGTTTAGCATCAAGTAGTTATGCTGAAGAAGAACACCAATTATGGTATTATTTCGGTTCAAGTTTGATGCTTTTAACTGGGTTATTAGTTCTGTTGGGAGATGTCACTTCGACTATTAAGTGGATTATAATGAAAATAATTTTAAAGATACTTTTATTAGATCGTTTTCTGCTGCGTCGACTTCATCGAACTGGTAATAAATGGATACATTTACCGGATATATCTGATTGGCTGTACGAGTAAGTGATTTATTTGTTTATTGTGTCTTATTACAATTGATGTAAAATAGTATACATTTCCATTTCAAATCATGCTCTGACCTATTGTATCGTTATGAAACCTAGTCATAGAAACTAAAAGAAATGTGTAATACTCTTGTGGTTAATTGATATGACCTGAATTATATATATATATATATATATATATATATATATATATATATATATGACTAAGGACACTTGAACGATAACCTTCAGTGCCTTGGTAACTGGTAGAGGTGGTAATATAACAGATGATATAATACGACGTCAATATATATGCAAAATGCAATGGCTTATGTATATATTTACAATAGTTGGTATTCATTATGGACTAGCATCAGTCGGAGAAACATAAGAAACCTGGGAGCACTGGGCAACTGCTTCATCCTGATATGGGGCCCCTCAGCAGTGAGCACCCATGACCCTTTCAGGTATCTAACCCAGTACCTTCAGGTTCCTCATCCAGCACGTTGTTACCATTGAGCCACTGGGTCGAAACCCAATGGTCCATATTTCCTACTCCTGTCAGTTCACGATGGCCTTGATTATTTCTAGGCCTTTGTATATTAGCATCTCCCATTGATTTTTGTCAATTTGGTATTTGCATATCGCTTCATGTGCCTTTTCTCGAAACTTTGAAGCAAAACGTTTGGTTGTAAACGATTTCAAGGATTTAATGCGAATCTGCGCAGTGTTGATGCACACCACAACAAAATGTATATGTTACAGGGATTCTGCCATCGATACTTTTGAATGAGCACTCAGACGGTAGAATAATCCCGAAAATAATACTAATTTATAGGTGTAAAGTACTGGGTAAATAAGTGAACCCTTTTTGACTGAATTAGCTACTATTTGTGTTGTACATTTCTAACTACCACACACCTTGATTTGGTATTTCAGCAAGCAACTCTGAATCAAACATATTGCACTAATTTATAAAGTTATGTAACAGTGTGTAAACTATCTTATTGAAACTCTGTGAGGTAATTTAAATTCTTAATTTGACATCGTATGTAATACAGCTTTTACCTTGTTTACTATTAAAAACCTTTCATCTTACGTTTTCGCCTCCAATTTGCTCTGCAAGTTTCTTTGTGACCAAGTTTAATACCATTCTTTTACCTTCTCTTGTCTTTTTCTCCGATTTACTGTTCTGATGTAAAGCAGTTTTGAAGGAAGTACAATTGTACCGATTTCCACATAATTATTCCTTTCTATAATCTCGTGTTTATCCATTAAATATAACCTTGCCTAGAATCGACATTAAAACAATTCTACTCAACAGGCTAAATTTAAACTTTTAAACAATCAGTCTAAATTCCACTAACTCTTAACCGAGTGCTGTGTACACGAAAAAATACACTGGAACTTCAGATATTCATGTCCTTTGCTGTTGGTATGGCTTGTTATGTTCTCCTACCAAATAATCTTTTAAGATATTGTGATGAATGAAGTACTGAAATCTGTAGTAAGGAATTCGTCAATTATGTGTTCCTTCATCCCAATAACCGTAAGTCTAGTCCATTTAAACTTGAAGTTAGCCTTCAGTCGTTATTCTACTTCACTTTTAACGCACATTAATTTTTCATTCAACCCTTTATTACCTCGTATGAGAAGGGAATCACGAAATTTTATTTTTGTTGTCTTAAGACTTACATTCGTTTTTATGCTTTACCAAGCACTTGTGATGTCGGTAAATCACCTATAAATTACTTACAAGTCGAAGTTATTCACCTTGAAAATTTCATACCTAAATATTTTTGTTAAACTGTGGTGTCAACAGAATTTCTGTTGGGAACCAGCCAACTGAGTTCGTAAGGTGTGATCTCTGACACAAAAGTGTCACGAATTAACGGAATATACTTCCAAACAGCATGAGTAGTTTAAGACCACTCATGCTGATCTGTAGACTTCATAAATCAGGTCAAATTGATCTAAACACTAGACGACTGTTCCACTCGTTCACTGTTCAGCTCATGAGTGATTTACCTGGAAACGTTTAGCTCATAAAGCTGAATTTTTTCAGGCCAATTAAATCTAATTGTCTGTCTTAGATAGACCATTATACTTTCAATTAGATGATGATTTTGTAAATCATTTACAGATGGCTCTGTCCACCTTTATATTTTTCATAACTGAGTAGTTTATCAACTCTATTGTCAATAATACACTTTCTTTTGGAAACTACTAATTGATGATTGCCGTTTTTTCGGATCTCCGATATTAGTTAATCAAGGTTATGATCTGACTAGTGTGAAATATATACGGTCGCTGCTGAACCAATTCATATTTTCATATTATTATTGTTGTACTTCTATTTTTGTTTTCTGGAATCTCTAGTTATAATCCAGATATTTATTTTATAAGATGATCAATAATATTTTTGTTTATCAAGCAATAATTTCTTCTCATCGTATGATATGAGTAGTAGTGTATTCATCATAGGAACTAGAAGAAAATATTTTCAAATCTTGTCAAGACATGCACAAGCATGCAATTCTCAGTGATAACAAAAACAATTCGTATTAGCGTACATCTTGTTACTAATAATTCATAATCTTATTCACCTTATATGCCTATGCTTCTGTGTGGCAAAGAAAAAAGACGCTATCTGATTGGTATATATTTTTCTCTATCTGAAAGAATGCTACTTAGCATGTCTTATTAGATTGTTCATAAAACATTTTTTCTTCTTCCTAAGATGACTTGTTGTTCTACATGAAAACTAATTAATGGAGTAGGAAATTAAAATGAGTATATGAGTCACAATAAAAAGAGATTGAAGTCAATCAGTCTTAACAGCGAAAAGTTTCACTCTCGACAAATGTTTTTTATAGTACGTAAATGTAATGTCCTATGCTTGTTCAGAAGGGCAAAACAAATAATTCACTACTTGTTTTAACAAAGATTATACTTTTGTATGTGGTTATTAACTGAAGTTAGTCTTGCAGAATAACAGAAAGTGATTTTATATAGAGGAATATGGAACTATCAAAGTAACCGTAAACACTGTGTATACCAAGATTTTTTTGAATTCCTAATGCCAGTTTTCAAGCGTAAGAATTTCAGCTGACTGTATTGCTACAGCTGATGGTCCATGTAACAAGTGGCTTCCATGAAAACTAGCACACTGCCACCCTACCTCAAACGAAATCTCATCGCCTCATGTATACGAAAAAGACAGTCGGTTGAATTCCAAAGATATGAAATTATTTCATAGTGGCATACCATTTTTATTTAACTTTACCATAGAAGTGCTTATCGAGATATCCTTCTTTTCGTCTGACTTTGCAGCTGTCCATCCCACAAGTGGTCTTTAAATCAACGATATTAGTCTTTTTGTGTGTGAATTTAGAGTTTTTAGAACATGTCGGGTGACAGTTCGAGAGCTTTCAGCTTGCGCTTCGCTCTTCTGAAATGCAAATTGTTACTATGTAACTGTGTAGATACCTCATCTGGGAATAGCAGATGAAATGGTTGCACGCATTGACCACTTCATGTACTTTCGAAGTCAGATGAGCTATTGCAAATCAGTGGTCGATGAAATCTTGGTACGTATGCAAAAGGCCCGATTGGTTTTATCAGGTTTCTGCATTTGTGGTGCTGGCGAAATATGCGACTGCTGTGGCATATGTTTTTTCAAGATACAGGACGCTTGAAGACTATGGAATTCGATCATTGTTGCCTTGGTGACATTGGCTGTGTCTCATGGGACCTTCAAGCTAACAGCCTAGATGTTTTGCTGACTCCTAAGTTAAAGAGATAAGCTAGTTTCTGAATCAAGTTGCGTAGGTTCCCGGTTTCTCACTAACTGCGAACAAACTAATATGGCTCAGATTAACAGTCATTCATATTGTGGATTACTCATTGTATTTCAATAACTTACAGTAGACCTAATTGTACACTATTATTATACGTTTGACGATAAAACACGTTCATTCAGTGTTCAAGTGACAATCATATTATCACAAAGTTTTCACACACTGTTATCGTTCGTTAGGCATATAAAACGCTTGAACCCAACTGTTGTTGGGTGAAGTCGAACATTCTTCACTGCTGGTTCTAACCAGGTGGTGATATGACTACACATTCTCCATACTTATTATCAATACAGAAAGTAGCTACGGATAGACATTTCTTGGAATGCAGCTGTTTCAAGTCAATAACTTTTCTGCCGATGATGTCATCTGATAAGGGTAACTATCTTCAAATCAGTCTAAAATACCTGGGAACTGCAGTCCATTTTCTGAAGGGATCCAATGTTACTTACAAAAGTATCTCATGACCTTTTTTATTTGTTTCTGATAGCTTGCTTCACAAAATTGTAATAGTGTGTCTTAAAAGTTGTTAGAAAATGTTAAATTTTAAAATGTATTCCTTTGCTATTTCTCTCAAATACTGCGTATATCGTACTGGTCAGCCAGTATTCTGCTGGTTGTACACTGAAAATAAGCGATTCTTATACCCTTATCTACTCTTGCAGTCATCAATATTACTCACCTGTGTTTTGTCTCACAGTGTGGTCCAGAACCGTCATATTACATGACTATAGTCTGAGCTTTGGGTTTGGTTGGGCTTTTTTGAATGGTTTAAGTTCATAATCTCAAAAAATGTGCAGTGTTATGCAATCGATTATACAGTGTGATTTATCATAATACCATAAGCACTCAATTTTACTGAAGTGTCAGCACTTAAACTTTTTTTCTAGCTATCACATGACTATAACTGACTTGTTATATACTTTCATTACGAATATCATAGCTGCTCCCTTAGTTCTTCTACAACCTACAAATCATGGCTAAGTAGTGAGTAATATATATTACAGTTATAAAACTGTTATTTGTTAGATAGTGAAGCATACGAAATAGGCTGCATATATTATATTGCAAAATAACTGTATCAAGGAAGCATCTACATGTCGGACAAGAGCCAGTAACCTATAGCTAATTAAGTTCGATATCTTTTTCGTTGCATTTCTTTCTAACAGAGTATACCGACTGTATATCGGAACCACAAACAACTGTCATCACTTATTATTCAATCAAAAAGTTAGTGTAGCTCAAACCTGTCCACTAGGCTATTAGCCAAAACTTTTTTATTGAAGTTAATGGAACTTTTGCCAGTTCAAACTTTAGGATAGCTACCATGAAGGCAGTATGGAATGATAGAGCTCAAAGCTTGATGAATCAAACTGCCAGTAATTAGTAGTTAGCAAAGGAATGTAATGTTCATTATCGAGTGTTTTAATCACGTTAGTCAGTTGGTGTTATCAGTTTATTATAAAGCGTTTATATGCATAGACATTGGTTATCTAATATTCATACTTATCATGGGTGATGATTGAAGGTAGGATGAAAATTTGAATCGCTGTCGGGTTTCTGGCCCAATGCTCTATTAACTGAGATAAGAGGTCCAACTGCTGACCAGATTTTTATTTCACTTCACTCACCATGGGTTTTACCTGACTACCATGTCAAAATGATACTATGCGTATACCTAAATCATAGTTGTCCATACAAACAATGCATAGACACAGAAAATTGTGTGATACATCCATCTTCTCACAAGAGATGATCACATATTCATTCCTCACTGAAGCTATGTGCACAACTGAAAAGAATCGTATCAAAACACATTTTTATCATTCTACATTAAAGTGACAAGTATAACTCATATGTTTCAACTGTAATACGCTAAATACTGTAATACTAAAGCAGATACCACAATGGAACTGTACTTTTGTGTAATATTTCAGTGGTAGGCTTTTCACATCCTTCATGTAAATCACCTTCATTGCATTTCTTTTTCTTATCAAATCACTGAAACAGGTCTAATACTTACCTAATGTTTTATTTTTTTAGAAAATATTATTGCCTCTATACTGGAATATTACGCTTCATATCTGAAGTGTTTTAATTCTTTTTCTATTTTAGACCTCAACATGTTGGCTGGTTATGGCTATGGCTGCTAACTGCATGGATTATATTTTTATTGTTTCGATTCAAGGCAATAATTCATCTACGTCCAACTTGTTCTGTATGGGATAAATGCAAATATTACATTCCTTTAATCCCTAGTATATTTATAGCTCTAAATCAGTTATCCTATAAATTCGCAGTGGCTGAAAATGAAAAGTAAGCTTTGTATACTTAATTAATTAACTGATTTTAAAATTATAAAATTTATCCACAGGAAAAAAAAACTATTTAACTATAAGTTGTGTTAAAGTACGCTTTTGTTTTGTTGCTTTAAGGTTGGGTCAGCTAAAGTTTAGTGTAGTACTGAAAGCGAAAATTAGGTGTTGAAAGTTTTTTCCCAATGTATGTAATAATTAATCCATAGAGTCGATGTATATATTGCTGCTTACTTTCAATATCCGATAATTTTTTTCGATGTAGTGTTGTAAAGGTGACATTCTACAACTAAATTTTGTGTCATTGTATTCTATCTATCTAACCACTACAGATAAATTCATAACTGAATTTTGAGGGAGTTGTGGAGATTTGGAAATCTTTCAAGTTGTTATTCATCGTAGACTGACATCAGTTGGAGGAACAAAGGAAACCTGGGAGCACTGGACAGCCGTTTCGTCCTAGTATGGGACTCCTTAGCAGTGTGCACCCACGACCCCACCAGGGATCCGAACTCTCGGCCTTCAGGTTCGAGAAGTATTCTCGAAGTTCCAATGAGAAGTGGTGACCTGTGGGGGCAAAGCCTGATGGTCGTGAGGACAGTTACTCAACGATGACATTGGGTGGCGGTTGCGCTATATCGTGAGCTAACAGAAGTTGGAAATATGGAGCATTGAATTCTGACCCAGTGGCTCAATGGTAACGTGCTGGCCACGGAACCTGAAGGCCGCGGGTTCGATCCCTGGTGGGGTCGTGGGTGCGCACTGCTGAGGAGTCCCATACTAGGACGAGACGGCTGTCTAGTGCTCCCAGGTTTCCTTTGTTCCTCCAACTGATGTCAGTCTACGGTGAATAACAACTTGGAATTTATAACTGTTTTAAGCGTAGAATATGAAAATCAAGTAATTATCAACCTTATTATTGTTAAAAGTTGGTACATTGAAACGAAGGCTATGTGATAATTACGCACCCTATGTAAATCAGCATCAAAGCTGTTATGTTCTATGGAATGGAAGTAGACTACAAGATTTTTATATCATCCAGTCATTACTGATGCCCGAATGATAGGTCTATCAATGTGAACTAAATTGAGTTTTATTTTGTTGTATTCGACTTATGGATATCACATAATTAGAGAAACTCAACCCGGTATAAATTTATGCATGTACTAGGCTATGAGCTTATGAGAACATCTGGCCATCCCTGATAAATAAGTTGGAGTGAGAATCACGCTCAGGACTCACTACTCATGACTCGATACTTAGCACAAACTCACTGTTGAAATTAATTGAGACACTTGAGTTCGATGTTAAGATGAAATAGAAAAGAATTCAACCAAACCACAGTTTTTATTCACTGATTTTTCTGTAGTGCAAGGAGTCCAACCATAGTGCATGTTGTTCACATATTATGTTAAACACTGCTGTCATGAATTCACACACGCACTAGTTTAACAGTCTCAAGTCAGGAGTTATCCCATGCACTAATTAAACTTCTCAACACATAAACTGAAATTTTCAACCGATAAAGTTACTATTACTCTTGTCTACGCAGTCGACTTCAACACTTCTGTAGTTACCTCCAATACGAACTAATCTATTAAAAAGGATGTAGTTTTTCAATTTGGAGGTTTAAGGGGATTTATTGATTGATTTTAGGTTGATATTCATCATAGACCGACATCACTTGGAGAACCATTTGAAACCTGAGAGTATTGAACAGCTGTTTTGTCTTCACCAGTGCGTACCCATGAACCTATCAGGGACCGAACCAAGGAGCTATAGATTTTGTGGCGAGGAACTTGCCACTGGGTCACTATCCAATGGTTCATATTTCTTGCTTCCGCCAGTTCACTATATGGCGTTTTCTCCATCCAATGCCGTTATTAAGTATCTGGCCTCACGTCTGAATTGTTTGGCTCCACCGGTCACGACTTCTCATTAGAAATTCGGGAACCTCATCTCGAAGCCAGTCAATAGTTACTTGCTGACCACGGGACCTGAAGTTCGTGGATTCGATCTCTGGTGGGGTTATGGGTGGGCACTGTTGAGGAGTCCCATAGTAGGATCCCGATGTTTTTCCAGCTGATCTCATTCCATAATGACTACCAACCTTAGTTTTGTTAGTTCTTAGGCATCTTGTAACGAATGACACAACAGGACAAATATCGACGCCGGTTTTTGCATTCATCTCATCACTTTCGTGACTATAGAACCAGTAATACTGTGCTGACATTAATTAAGATAGGCTATATCAGCACTGAAGTTCCATTGTTTGTTCAATGCCATTTACTTTCGCATGAAATTCACCATCACATTTGATTTACGCGTATTCATATCATCCTAAAAGTGATAAAAATCAAAGTGGATCTACTTGCAGTCATATATATTCCACTTTGACAAATGTTTTTTCTGCAAATTTGATTTCTCATTATACTAATAACTTCAACTCACGCCTTGGTCTTACCGTTTTTTATCATTTATTATGTGCTTTATAAGTTATAAGCGTCATGTCGACATTAATGTACCATGTAAGCTCTAAGTCATACGTTATTCTTAGAGTCTGTCCCTTACCTGAATACCCACTGAATATTAGAAATAGTAACTTAGATAACGGAGTTTTCTACAGTTTACCTTCATAGTTTCATTTATTCAATATTTATTTGTTTCACTTTCAGTGAAGATGCCATACATTCAGCCAGATTTTGTTATCTGTTATGCGCTGTCGATGCATTTTGTTTGTATAAATCAAGAGGTGTTCGTTTGAACAAAAATGCTAGTCGATTATTTGGTCAAACATCATCGGATGTTTCAAAAACATTTTGGGATTCAATTGTTCATCCATTATCAACATTAATTATACTGGTATGTTTACTGGGAAAACCTGTTGTAACAATTCTATGGCTTGGTATATGGTTAAAGGAAGCTTTGCTCTCGGAAATGATTCAATTAATATTTCATTATTCTGGAATGCATTCGTCGCATAAAACATTTCAATACATTTTACCACTGTGCTCATGGCTTATCTACTGGACTCAAGGTTGGGTTAGCTTTTTTCAACAGGTGAGTGATGCTTATTGTACATAAACATATATCAAAGTAATCACGTTGAAACGTATCGACAACTTATGTAGTTGACTGTTACTATCATAAGTAGTGTGTTGAACTGTGGTGGTGTTAATTACACTAAGTTGTGTTTGTTGTAACTAATTAGAGAACTTAAGTGACCCAACCTAAAATTGGTTTTTCTGTGTATTACATGAAAGTATGGTGATTCTGAGTGTTTTAGTCTAATATTCATGAAACACTTTATTTGCATTTGTAACACTTGTCAGTCACAATCAGAAATGAATTGTTAAAGTTTTGATTGAAATTCGAAAAACTGACCCATTGGATTTCAGTTCAACAACTAAATAATAATCTTTTGGTCGTAATAACTAGTTGGCTTTGCTTTGATCACATATGAAGTTAAGAGCGTGCACTGTTGAAGAGTTTCAAGCCCTGTTGAAATAACTATCATCTTCAGTGTTTCTATTATAGATGTCAGTTCTTCGTTGTGGTTACCTCTCTGTTTTATCTAAGCCAGTTTATTTGATCGCAAATAGCACTTCTAAATGCCTTGAAGTACTTCAGATGTTCATCAATAATAATTTCTGCTCGTGAGAATGGTATATCTCATTCAACAAGCCATCAGAATATCAAAAAGTGAAGGTTGGGCAAACATTATAAAAACGTTTTCTAGGTAAAATATCACACACACACATAAACAGCTTACTAGTACATTTGGATTAGTACGAATATCTGACCACATAGCGGCACAAAAAGCTCAAAAACATCTAGCTCAACATAGACGGCTTAACGTGTTGATTTTCATTTTACCTCCTCTTTGTCAATACTTTAAAAAGATCGGTTTTTTGATCTTAGTGATTAGCAGAGGAGCTCAAGACGTGCTCTTCGTCCTATTTAGGAATCGTCAGCTTACACTCCAGTAAGCGATGTTGTTCCCACTGAGGCTCGAACCCAGTACACATTGCTTAAAACTTCAGAGCGTTATCAACTAAATCACTGGGACACGAAAGCCATCTCTTGCTGTAATGATAATTGTAATTTCCCGTTGCTTTACAGTGCCGAATTGCTCGACCTCTATTGGCGGATGGGCTCCCATGCGGATGCCTTGATACTGCTGAATATTTATGATGTTTAAATGATCGTGGTGACTAGCAAAATATTCAGGGCGAGAGTTTCATCCTACTTGGGCGTCATCAACTGAATGTAACTGTATCCCAGTGAGTGACGTTGTTCCCACTGAGGTCCGAACCCAATACCTACATCACTCACTGGGGTGCAGGTACATCCACCTGACGAGTCCTGAACAGAACAAAACCCTCGCCCTATATTCCTCTGCTAGTCACCGAGATTAGCATAATATCATAAATATTCAGCAGTATCTAGGAATCCCCATGGGAGCCCATCTGCCAGCAGAGGCCGAGCAGTTCGGCCCTGTATAGCAACGGGAAATTACTAGTATCATAACAAAATCGATCTTTCTTCTATTCCGGTTGCGATGTGGTGCACTTGTTTGAAAGTTACAATGAGTGTTTGAAGTTGGTTTATAGAAACCCAGTAGAATATACACAACGTTTAAGGATTCATCTTGTATTTGAGTTAAAAAGGCATGATGAGATTTTAAACATCTGTCCTCTGTGTGTAGACATAATTCGCGTTTACTTACTTGATTGGTAATATGAACAAAGAGACTGTTCGTGCACTGGTTACATCAAAAAACTAGGTGGTGAAACAGTAGATCTAAGACAAGAAACCAGATGCATTTAGTACACCCTACTCATCAACAATAACACCCAAATAATTTGATAAGTTCCTTAGAAATCATAACAAAAATATAACTATGTAACACAGGTGTTAATAGTAGTGGTAATACTGTGAGGAGAGAACTTAAAACCTCTACAGTATTACTAAATAAAAGAAGCACTTCAGAGACACTGTAGGATTCTCAACCAGGCTGAGTGTGGGATTAGAGTGGCATTTAAACCTAAAAGCTCACTTACGAATAAGCTTCGTAGGTTGAAAGCTCCTATTGATCCAATTAAGCAGGACGATTCAGTTTACCAAATCCCTGGCAACGATTGGGAGATCAAATACATAGGTCAAAGTAGTCGACCACGCTAAATTACGCTATCTGAGTACAAAATCCTAGCTAAATTAATTTGGTATGTACCTAATAAGGTAAGGAATTTAGAAAAAAGCTCAGCCATACCTTTGCATACAATTACATACAACCACAAAATAGGATTGGATAGGGTGAAAATCCTTAAAACTAACATAACAGGGTGGATGGAGAGATTGATAATTGAATCTTTGTTTATCGAATAACACCAAGGATATGCAACAGGAATGACTCAACACCTGTTCCGAATATATGGAGAATCTTACTACCCATATCACGAAGGGGGCGAAGAAATTAGGACTATATAAAGGATGTTTCAAAGTTGTATAGTTATCTTGATATGAATATGGACAATAAATTATGTCCAAAACGTAATCCAGTAAACAATACTGCTTCACTGTGTGACACATCTAATAAACAGACCAGAATGAAATTACATTCTATCATAATCAAAAAAAGACTACCTAATGATCCTAAGTGTTCATGATGGAAGAACGAAGTGTGATCTGCTTTTCTTTTTTGTTCATTGACTGGTGAAAGTTTGGATTATTCGGTCTTTAATTATCGAGCTCATTTTTCGTCGTCTTATCATACATTGTGCACTTATCGATGATTTGCTCGTTATCACATTCGAAGTCAAGTAAAATCACCTTCCTTTCATTTATATATTGAAACTACTTTTGCTGAATCAACTTATAACCTTTACTCTTAAACTACGTCAATTGTTTCCATCTCTCTTTGAGAGGTTCGCACTTCGTTGGTTGAATTTGTAGTTCAGGTCTATCGATGAGGTGTTCACTTTGATCATTTATTTTTAAAACAGAAGGAATTACAGTAAACAGTGATACATGTTATGTTGTTGTTATATCACTCGGCCTGCTTAAATCTTGCAGTACGAAGGAACTTTCTACCCATTACATTCCATCAAATTCTTCCCTTTTAGTTTTTTTGTTAAATCTTTTAAATGTCTTCTGAGCGCATCATGTCCTCTTGTACGTTTTTAAAATGTTTTTGAACTTTCGTTTTTCAATCAAAGGACCAAAAAAAGGAAAAACGTTCCGCTTGTTAGAAAGGAATTTGTAAATGCTCCAAAATACAGCACATTATTATTCCTAGGATACCTGTATGGGATTGTGAATTTCTGCGCTGGCTGACTGAACTGCCACCATCGAAATTACACTCGGTTTGTGTTCATTTCCGAGTCAAGAACAGGGGCTAATGTAACACTAGTTACCCATTTTACTCCTATGCCTTCAATACTGCTATTATTAACACTATGCGAATATAATAATTATTTCTTCTAAAAATATTGTACGGAAAGCGAATTTGTTGAAATATTCCATGCTGAAATTCCATACTGTATCATACATGGTGTTTGGAATAGAGCGATTATTATTATTATTATTATTATTATTATTATTATTATTATTATTATTATTATTATTATTATTTGTTTCAATTTATTGGTCCAACAGCAGCACTCTCGATCTGACTACTCTTTTTTTTAAATGATATCCTCCATATTATTGTTCTTGCTAACCAAATTCTTTTTGTTCTTTACCTCGTTATTTTTCAGGGAAATTCTTTAAGTCTATCTACTGTCGACTTGTCTGCTGCATATGTTGGTCTTCGGCATCACCAACCTCTGATAGCTGGTCTGTTGTTGGCGTTTTACACGTATTCAGGACCAATAATATGGCAATTGGCTTTTTTCTGTCGATTTGTTCTACCCGGACGTAAATATTTTGGTGAGAAATTTAACTGCCTTGTTTTAGGTTTTATAATTTTGCCTATCACACTATGCGGTACATTTTGTTTCTTTCTTCAATCACATCTGTTTATTTGGACAGTTTTCACACCGAAAATGCTTTATTCAGCTATGTTTTATATAACTGTAGTTCCTCTTCTGTGCTTATGGTCTGTGATAACTATTTAAATGCGTTGCTTTTTTTCTATCCTTCCTCCTCTTCTTTATTTTGAAATAAACGGTAGCCTTGGATATGTTTTACTCAGGATGTTGGTTGTTTTTTTAAGATGTTACTTCTGTGATTTTTTATTTAAATCTTTCTGTAATATTTGACAAACACTTTTTTTGTAAAATAATTTATGCTATTCTTCTGGGGGCTTAGTTGACACTTCCTTATTGATAATGCATGTTTATGTGTCATGTTAATTTGACAATAACCACTTTCTAGTATGTGCATGTTTGTTATTTAGATGTGCGGAACGTTTTTAAGTGCAGCACTCACGAAATGGAAATAGGTCTGCTGGATGAATAACATCTTTTTTTGTATCATCTTCCGTACTGAAAGGTGAATTCATACTTGTCACTTCTGATACTCATCATATATATAAGTGTGTGTATGATGGTAAATTTTCGTCTGCTATCGAAGTCTTTTCAATCATAGTCATATTTTTCTTACGATTATTAAGGAACTTATCTATTAATTCATGAGGGTAATTACTGACGAGTAAGGTAGTCCTAATGTATCGGTTTTCCTGTCCTAGATCTTTTGTTTTCTGATCCTGTTAGTTGAGCATTTTACCGAGCCAACTTTAACTGCTTCAAAAGTATGGCTACGACATGTTTACAGTGTTGAAATCGGAGCACATATATAGTTTCTTCAGACATATAAATTCCGCATTCAATACAACCCAATTCACCTATGAATTAAAAAATAGTGAAGGGAAATTAGCCATGTTAGATAGCAGAATAAAAACGGAAATAAGATGCGAGTTTAGACACTAGTGTCTACAGAAAACCATCATATTCAAATCCTTACTCAGACTCCAGGACCATAGAATACTTTTTCAACGGCCATGAGAGTGCAGTGTCACAGTTAGTTCACAGAATATGAATTCAAAGGAAGTCCTTCCGCGTTTTGGGAGCTTCATTAGGGCGGGATGTATTAAGCCAGAGATGTAAACCCGACTACAGAATATCCCATACTGAACTGTTCTTACAATCTAAACAGGTTCCCTGATGTAATTAATTACTATCGTCGTTTCACTCATCACTACGTGCAGTTAGTTGGCTTTACCATTTTCTGTTTGTAATTGATAATAACTGTATTTCTTTCCAAACGGTTTGCTCCTGCACAGGCTAAATATAGTACTTTGGAAGAGAATTACTGGCAGCCTACCTAGCTGTTAAACATTATCGACATGGATTGATTCTGACTCAGAAGTAAATAATATATTACTGGAAAGACGGGAAAGCAGCAGGGCCACATGGAATTCTGCCAGAAGCACTGAGAACAGACGCACACACAACAGCGGACATGCTCACACCACTATTGCAGAAGGTTCGGAAGGAAGAGAAGGTGCCTGGCGATTGGAAGAAGGGTTACCTTGTCAAACTGCCGAAGAAGGGAGACCTCAATGTTTGCAAGAACTGGCGCGGAATCACTCTCCTATCCACCCCAAGCAAAGTATTAAGCCGCATCATCCTGGAGAGACTACAGGATGCTCTGGATTTAAAAGTATGACCAGAACAGGCCGGCTAAATTCAGGAGGTATAAATCGTGTGCGGACCAAATTGCAACTCTTCGCATCATCACAGAACAGAGCATAGAATGGCATTCAGCTCTCTACCTCAACTTTATCGACTTTGAGAAGGCCTTTGACAGCGTCGACCGAGAAGTAATTTGGAAGCTGCTTCATTACTACGGAGTACCGCCAACCCTTCTCCGCCTCATTCAACAACTATATGAAGATGCCACATGCCAAGTAATTCACAATGGGAAGCTCAGTGATGCTTTTGAAGTGAAGACAGGAGTGAAACAAGGCTGCCTACTATCCCCCATGATGTTCCTGATTGTGGTGGACTGGATCATGCAACGAACAGTGGGGAGCGAGAAGAGGGGGATACGCTGGACTGCGGAAAAGAACCTAGAAGACTTGGATTTCGCCGATGACTTGTGCCTGATGTCACACAAACTTGAAGATCTACAGGCAAAAACTAACAGGTTGATAGAAGAGGCAGCGAAGACGGGACTTCAAGTGAATATAGAGAAGACAGAGGTGATGAAGATACCGCACCACCACCAACAACAACAAACTCCAATCACCGTCAACGGGAGAAACTTAGAGGAAGTAACCTCCTTCACTTATCTAGGAAGCACTATTTCAACTACAGGCGGGACAGACGAGGATGTCAAAGCCAGAATCGGAAAAGCAAGACAGGCGTTCATTAGCCTGAAACCAGTGTGGAGATCTTCTGCACTCCACTCAGCATGTGGAACAAGATCCGTGTTTTCAACACCAACGTCAAGTCAGTGCTTCTGTATGGTTCAGAGACTTGGCGCGTCACGAAAAGGATTTCCAATAAACTACAGACATTCATCAACAACTGCCTACGCTGGCTCGCTACTGAAGATCAGATGGTCAGAATAGTTAGAATAAGCAACAAGGAGCTCTGGGAACGAACCAACGAAGCAAGAACCTATCACACAACAAATATGTAGGAGGAAGTGGAGGTGGATTGGACATGCACTGAGAAGGCCGACTGAGGACATCGCGCGTCAGGCCAGTTGCTCGAGTGAAATCCCCATGGGAAGCGACGAGTTGGACGTCCGAGGGTGACATGGAGGAGATCGTGCGAGGCGGAAATGAGAGCTTCTGGGCTGTCGTGGAACCAGGTTCAAAAGATCTCAGAGAGCAAGGGTCATTGGAGACGTGCGACTGAAGCCCTATGTTCCATTAGGAACCCAAAGGACTAGCAATATAATAATAATTTATAGGAGGCTCTCTACTGGAACGCTTGTGTGTGTGTCATTGCCTATGGTGGGATGTTCAGGGAGCTATGCTCATCAAGTGGTGTCCGTCAAGGGTGCCCACTCCCCCACTCTCGTAATTTTACCATAGATATCCTTATGCAGGTCTTCCTCTCGTCACGTGATTAAACAGAGTTTGACCTAATAGGTGGAGAATTTTCGTTAGACCTGGGATATGCAGATGACATAGTCTTGTTAGGTGAATAAGCTGACAAAATGCAGTCCTCTGAACACTTTGAGTAGGAATTTGAGAATGTTCAGGATGCGTTTCTCTCCACCCAAATGCAAATTGTTGCTCCAGGACTGGTCTTCAGCGGTACCACGGCTAACAATAGTGAGTGTAATGGTTGGGTGTGTTGACCACTTCACTTGCCTAGGAAGTGGGGTCAGCCCTGATGGCTCAGTGGCCGTCCCTGCATAGATACAAAAGGCTCGATTGGGTTCCGCCAACTCACGCCACCTGCAGCGCCGCCGTGATATCCGATTGTCTACTAAGGGTCGCGTGTACTGTACAGCAGTCCTGTCTACTGTATTGCTATGAAACATGGCTATTGAAGGTGGAAGACATGAGAAGGTTTCGGGTGTTTGACCACCGTTTCCTCCGTAGTATAGGCTGTATTCCGTGATGTCACCACGTGAATAATGCAGAAGTCAGGAGTAGAGTTTTAGGGAGAATAAACCTTCATCGATTGAGATGGCTGAGACACGTGTTAAGTATGCCCAGTCACCGATTGCCTCGTCACACAATGTTGGCTGAGGTGGGTCCAGGCTGGAAAAAGGCTTGGGTGGCCAGACTAAAACATGGCACCAATGTATGAAGTCTCTGACTGTCGGTTTGAGCCATGTAGGGCGATGCAGACTAGGTGGTTGGGGCCCACGGGACAAGGGGAACCAGTGGTGGGAGGCACTGGGTGATATGGCTCAGAACTGATGTCAGTGGCGCAGATGTATAAACACGTTATCCTTATCTTAACGACGCTATACGTAATCTCACCACTTTCCCACTCTTTGTTTCCCTCTTTTCGCACTTCATTTTTCTTTTGACTGCATTCTCTTATCCCCATCCGGCGCCCCACCGCCTTTTTACTTGGTGTACTGATATGAGGTGTGGCAACTCAGACCACTACGCAGTAATGCCTGGTCCTTGGTTGATCTGGATGGGTGGATCATTACTCCATGCATGGATATGCATTTATTCTTAAACACTGATTCTACGGAAGACATTTCAAAATGCTTGATCAGCTTGTCGGTATTTTCATCCATAACTCAGATGCTTCCAATGGTATTTCGTTCATTGTGGGTGTTATCTTCATTATATAAACTCTTACTCTTTCACAACGAACCTAAAGTGAGCCATAATAAGAATAAATATACACTGCCCATATTACAGCACTTTTCATTCATTTCTGCTTTTTTTGGCACTGGAAACCAACTGCATCAATTTTACCAGGTCGCTTACTTGCGTTTGAACTGAAGGTTACTTTTTCACACTTTATTTGTTTCTGCTGACGGTTTACCATACAGCCATATGAACTAGAAACGTTTTCACAATGTCCAGGTTGTTAGGTGCGTCATTAAAATTTCCTCAGGACAGTGTTACACTTATCATCTGTATGTAATTACTGTCCTTCCTGAACTTTATTTTCGAGTACAGATATCTGTATTTTAAAACGGGTTTACTGCGGGGACTGTTTCTGTTGGCATCTATTTTTCTGACGCTAAAATTGCAAGTGCATGTATATTTCTCTGTGTTTTTTTTAAGTGATAACTGACTGGGTATGGCTTTCGAGTTGGATTGGACTATGTTTAGATTTTCCATCATCTTCATTTGCGTCTTCGATTTTTAAGATGTCTGATACTGGCAGATCAGCAACGTCGCGATGCTAAGAAGGTGTGAAGGTACTTGAACTCGTGTACGCATACTTGGAGTCATATGTACATCCTCGACTAGAAGTGGTGAACCACTTCTTTAG